CCCTGAAACTGTACCCCAAATATTCTCATTCCAAAATGCTTCTGCAGCATCCACAACACTATACCCCAGTAAAGAACTATTAACCTTTAGAAAATGAGGTAAAATAGCTAACATCTACCTTAAAATTCACTCTGCTTTTGTTAACTAAAAGGCAGTACAACATCGAAACAATTTTAAAGAGATCCATGAACATAGTATACTCTGCTTGCACCACATTTGTGACTATACTGGTGTCATGTTCTCGACTTAAAATGAACTTTATAAGGTAAATCATACTATAAAACCAACATTAGAAAATCTAAAATATGATCATCACCATACAGAATGAAACCAAATTCGACACATTATTCAAATATTAATCCCAGCTATGCAACACAGAGCAGAAAGCTATACAGCGTGGCCTTAGGGGTCTGTGCATACATATGGGGGAGGGAACCTGGAGACAGGACAGACAGTCCTGACATTCGAGTTTCAAAGCACTGCGGGCAGCTTTCCTTACTGTGTTTATCCCTCCCTGGAGGAACCGCTGCACACTCACAGACTGCTACAGCAGAGTCCACCGACAGGGCCCAGGATCCCCACCACCTGACACAGTTCTGTGAAAGCCAAATGGGACAGTGCACAGCAGGAAGAGGAGTGCGTGGGATCAAACCAAGGAGCCCTTCCTCAGCTTCGCAGGACTGGCTCCCCCCACCCCAACTCTAACTCAGGAGAGGCCTCTAACGGCAGCTCCCAGGTCACTGTCACCATGCCTTCCTCCCCTGTGGCCAGCACACAGGCCCTAAACCCCTCCATGAGTCAGGAGAGTCTGCGCCTCCAGGTATTCACAACCCATGAGTAACAACATCCTTTACCCTCCCTCTGCCCTGGGGCATTCAGAGAGGGCACCCCAGAGAAGCGTCTGTCTCTGAACTAGGAACTGAAACTGCCATGGTACAAAGAGGCTGCCCAGTAGAGAGAGAGCTCACTGTGGTGACAAGATCAGGCGGGAAGGTGAAGGCCAGATACCAGCTGGGCCTGGTGGCACACGCCTGTCATCCCAGCACTCTGGAAGGTGGAGGCAGGAGGAGCACAAGTTCAAGGTCAGCCTGGGCAACTGAGCCCTCTCTGCTTCCCCATACGGCACCACGCCATCATCATGCCAAACTCAGAGTCACAGAATCACCTGCATGACTACAGATTGCATCCCCACTAGATCAGATGGTATGGGCAGTCCATACAAGACCCATGTCCATCTTATCCAGCTCTATACTCAGTGCTACCCAACACAGCAGCCACTCAAACTATAAGGACATGTGGTGTTAAAGAAGGCCAGCATCCTAGGCCACAGGGAAACAGACATCAGGGATGACAGCTTAACAAGTCACTCTGGAAGGACAAGACCAGAGTTAGAGACAGGTAAGGGAACTGCTGGAAGTCTCTCCAGGTAAACAGAGACGTTACGGCTCTTGAGCAAGGGCAGCCAGGGTCTGGCAGCCATGAAGACGCAGTGGATAAGACTTGCAGATGCAGGATCTGAAGGCATGGTGCACAGAGGGCCAAGGGCAGGAGGGGCTCTAACAAGCCCGGGTGGAGATGCAGATGGGCATGGCACTCTCTCGGGCAGGGAACACAGGACACCACAAACAATTCCTAAGCCACTGTGACACCCTAGCATAGAGCAGGTTTGCTTCTAGCTCTAGAAACTGTAAAATTAAAAATTTAAACCCAACCTAGCTGTACCAAAATGAGCATGGTTCTATTAACAGACTCATAAAAACAAACCAAAGCTTGGATTTTTAAAGTTTCTGCACCGAGACCCTTCAGGAGGCAGACCCTATCAGGTGTTATTCCAGTCCAGGCCCACAAGGGCCCAAGAAGTGGCCTTGGCCTTCAAGGAGCTGCCAGTCCTTCTGGTCTGACCAAGAAAACAATCTGCCTGTCAACAGCTAAGAAATTCAGGCCCAAGGAGGCTGTGCTCTGACCGCAGCTGTGCAGGGCTTCTGGAGCACAGACTTCATGACTACACGAAATGGCCCAGGCCTCTAAGCTAAGCATCTAGGAGGTACACAGAGAGGCCCGAGCTTGCCCTGCGCCTGGAGACACTCCAGAACCCTCAGCCCCAGCAGGGGTGGATAATGCCCTCAGGCTCGGAAGGCTGCTGAGCACTCCCACAGCAGCAGTGAAGAGAGCAGTGCCAGAGAGGGACAGAGGCGTGACTGGCCGACCTGAGCAGGGGCCAAACCCTAGAGGTGCCAAAGCAGGCTCTCAAGGGGCTCTGGAAGTGTCCGCAGAGAATCACATGTTCAGGAAGGCAGACTGACGGGGGCCTTCTTCAAACAGGGTCCTCCTCCAGTGACCCCAAGCAAGTAAGGCCACAACCCAAAGCAGATGTGCAGAAAAGCAGATGCAGAAGTTTCAGATCATCCAGAAAAGAAAACACACTCCGAGCGCTCACTCCAGAGACCACTAAGGGCGACAGATTCAATACCAGCTCTTCCCGGTCAAAACCAAAAAATCTTCCCTTCACCCAAAATTGGCATCCCATTCTTCTTTCTCTTTAAAGAACTGCTTCATTATCTCTACCTCAACTTCCTCAGATCTGAGTTAATTTTCTTGCCACTTGATCTTTTTTCATGCTCTTCAACCCCAGAGCCTTTTCCCTGCCTGGAAACCCTGCCTAACCTCAAGACCAGCTTGACCATCGCCGCCTCCTCTGTGAAGCAGGCCAGGCGGGTCACCAACCCTGCTTCGGCACACTTGGGTGTGTATTGTTAGGATTCATCTTAGTGTTCCCCCATAATTCCCAAGCTCCTAAAGGAAGGAAACTGTTTTGATACTTTTTGACTACTGCCCTCTAACCTAGATGCCCAAAAAATACAAGAAAATGTTCCATGTATAAATGATCAGAGGTTAAGTTTATCTTCAAATCTCCTAGAATCCATTCAGCTGTTCAATCCAGCCTGCTCTACAAATTTGCCTACGCATACTTGGTACACTGGGCAGCATCTATACTCTGAAGAACAGTTTTCCTGCAAAAGTATCCTGGCTGAAAAACTCCTGTGACTAAAACAGCTGAGATGCTATTAAGCCTTTAGAGTTCCTGTTTTTAATTCCTAAAATTCTGGCCGTGTGAAAAGCTTATCTTCAGTGTAACCACGCTCAGGCTCCATCACTAGGGGAAGAAATCATATTTTATTGATATTAGTGCCTAGGACCATGGCTGCTCAATAACTCCAAAAAAACCTTTTTTTTTTCTATTTAGTTTCACTTTCGATAGGAAGGAAGCACCCCAGCAGTTTAGATAAACAATATTTCCTGTGACCAGTAAAAATATTACCCCTGCTATTCAATTTTATTAAGAACACTTAAAAGTCTTTCTTTTAGGATATGATTAAATCTGAACTACAAAGGCCCAATTTGTATTTCTGGTCTAGAAAAATAAAAATAAAACTTAGTACAACTTGAATCTTAGTTAAGTTTTAAACTATTACTGCAATAATACAGAAACATTTTTAACAGGAAAAAAGCGATAGGGGAGAATAATTTTTGTGCACAATATGAAATAACAAATTATGTAAATTTTTAAAATTAGAAGATGGCACTCTGAGTTTCCTGTTCTGAAAGCATTGGAGAAGGGAGTATTAAAAAAAGTTAGCACCTCTCACTTCACTTTCTACATTGCTTCACTACGTGACCTTGGGAATGTCACGTAATTTCTCTCATTTAGCTCTGTAAAATGGGAAGGTCACCTGTTTTCTTCCTAGGGACAACTAGATAGCTGGATAAAAGAATCAATATGCATTTGGTGTTCTTTTTAAAAAAAGGAAACGTGCCTAATTAGTATGTTTTAATCACTACTCGTACAGTACATTCTTCTTCAGGAATCCAATTCCAAGAGAAATATTTAAGCAGACGTTGAAGACAGATTTCCTTAAGGGAATGATTTTATAATTCTGGAAGGCAATGTAACGAGATTATAAATTAACACTTTGATTACATAAGCTTTGACAGCCCAGGCTTTGGAGTACACTGATACACACTCTGATAAGTGCGACTGATTCGGGACAGAACAACCTGGCCCCTACAAGGAACCCAGACTCAGCCTCCTGGCATCCCACGGTTATCTGTGGAGATTCAACAGGACGCTCAGCACTTGCAGTTCTGTAACTTGGAAGCCTTTCTGCACCTCAAGACTAACAAAATGCATAAACGCATTAAGTCAGTTTCGCCACCGCTCCTAAGTCTTTCAGGCTGTGTTTTCTTAAACGGAAGTGAAAAAAAGTAACCTGACAGTCGGAAAGGTCCTGTACCCCCAGGCGAGCATAGATCTAGGAAGCCCACTGCTCAATTCTCTCCCCGGACTGCACTGAGTAAAACTCCCCGGGAAGCTGCTGGCTGTCTCCAATCTGACTGTCAGGAATCACACAGCTCCAGGAAGCCCCATCCGTCAAGGCTGCCGAGGGTCCTGGGTCCAAGTCCCAGCAGAGGCAGGAGGTTTTGCACAATGATCCAGAACGAAATCAACAGGCTTTGGCTGTGGAGCAGAACCCAGGTTCCCCAGCCCAGAACCCGAGCTCTCCCCTGGGGACGCCCCGCTTCCCTCGCCGCCTCCCCTCCTCCTCAGCCCGCTGCCCTCTCCTCGACTACGACCCCCGTGGCATTGTGAAGCTGCAGCTCGCGCCCGCTCTCGGGGCTCAGCGGCCAGGAGCGGGCCAACGGGGGGCCGCGCGCACGGCGGCGGCGAGCGCGGGGCGCCGGGCGGGGCGCGGGCCTCCGAGGTGCCGCAATCCCGCCGCGGCCGCAAGGGCAGGGCCTCGGGCGCCGCGCCGCAGTGCCGCCCCCCGCCCCGCGCCCGCCAGGCCGCGCGCCCCGGGGCCCGCAGCGGGCGCGTCCTCTGGGGTGCGGGGCGCGCAACTTACTTTCCGCCCGCGGCCCGGCCACCGCCGCGGCTGTAAGGCAGGGAGGCCGCCCCGCGCCCCGCCGCGCCCCGGCCCCGCCGCGCTCCGCGCCGCACCTACCTCAGCCGCCAGGCGGACGTTCTTCTGCAGCGGCCGCGGCGCCGACAACTCCTTCCCGGCCGCCGGATCCCCGCACCCAGCGCAAATCATAATACCGAGCGGGCGACCGGGCGCGGGGAGGGGTGCGTCGGGCTGCGCATGCGCGGGCGGCGTGTCGCTGTGACGCGCGCCGGGGCGGGGCTAGGGGCGTGATCGAAGCGGGACCGGGCGGCAGCACCTGCAGGCCCGCGCTCTGGCTGGGCAGCGTCCATGACCGCGGGTCGCGTCCGCCGCGCCGGCTGCAGGAAGCAGGAGAGGCGCCAAGAGGACAGGGAGCCTGGAGCAGGAAGCACCGGGGACACAGGACAATGGCCGGGAAAAAATAGCGCCAGCTGTCGGGGAAATTCGAGGGAAGTGACAGCATCCGCTCAGGACTGCATTTTGGGGTCTCCCATCTAGGGGTACGCAGGAAGGGAGCATACGTGCATCTGTGTACGCTGTACATTTTTCTTCACTGTTTCTTCGAGAACCCGATTTGAAGGAATTTTGCTGATGTCGTTGCTATTTAAACAAGAAGAAGGTACCCAGCATCTGAAGGCAGCACTGGCCTTAAGGACAGCAGGAGATCCTGGTCAGGCCCGAGTTGTTCCACGACGACGTGAGAGAGACTGCAGCCGGAATGGTTGGGTTTCAAAGCATTCCAGGCCTGCACCAGACCTTGGATGGCACGTATCGTGGTTGCCAGGCCGAGTGGCCCAGGAGAGAATGAAGAGAGAGGCACTCCTCTTCTAGATGCCAGGCTGCCAGAGCATCAGCTATCTGGGGTTCTTGGAAGGAGCACCAACCAGCCAGGTGCCCCTAAGATTTCTTCACCCCCAGGAAAGGCCCGCTAGTGAAGAAGGGCACTAGCGAGAAAAGCTGCTTAGATGCTCCCCAACTCCAGTGGAATTGACCACATGAAGAAGAGAAACCTAGCGAATCTGTTGACCTGCAAATGTCAGAAGCCTTTTCTTTGAGACTACATCATCAGCTTTGCAGGTCTGAAAATGATTGGGAAGCAAGACAGGATTGTTTCGAGGTGCAAACCTTTGGACTCTGGGTAACAAGGCAAGGTTTTGCCTTTAAAGGCACCTCCTGTTGTAGCAGCAGGTGACGGGGTGCACCAGCCATGCCTCAGACTGGGCCTCTGCTCTTCCAGGAGCACGTGACTTGGAAAGATCACGAAAGGGTAATCTCTTGACATAAAAATTCTAACTTAGCATCATAGGAAACGAGAGCTCCTAACTTGGATTTGTGGAATTCATTCTCTTATTGGAAGACCATGCACTTTTCCCTTAAAAGAGGTCTCACTAGTCAGGGAAACGGGCCAGTCATAGAAAGGAAATACCACTCTGGTGGTCACTCTGGGGAATTCCACAGGTTGACACCCTTCACTCCCAGGTCTGTAACTATGACTACACAGCAATGCCCATAAGACCTAAGCCCTTCAAAAGCATAGTATTTCTGCTGCTGCTGTGTGACTCGGACTTTGAATAAGCCCTACAAGAAAAACAACAGCTTAAGGAGAAAAACAATACTTGAGAAGAGGCAAAATAGTAAATCAATTTAAATAAAGTCAGCTCCAGTTCTCTTGCAGAGAGGAGGCTACGGCACAGGCCATGTGGAAATCATTTACTCACCCACAATGTTTCTTGGGGTGCTGAGTGCTGCTGGCAGGAACATGACCCATTTTCAGCTCTGCATCCTAAGTCATTGTGATCTGGATATGCAACGGCGCAATATTTTAAAACATTCAAATTAATATATTATTAAATAGCTTTGGATTGGAGCAAATGTACCTATTTTAATGAAGAAACTCCTTCTGCAATCTACCCTGGGGCTTTCTCCGACACACACTGCTTTTTAATGTTAGGTCTTTTTATGGACCTGTAAGGATCTTTAATTAGCTATTCAGCATTGTACAGAATGACAAGATGGAACATGCAGACTTGCATTAGAGTCTCTGTGATTCAGATCTCAAAAAAATAACATGATGCCTCTGACATACAGAAGGAGCTGTTTATTGGAAGGAAACCAGGGAGGTGCAACAAATTAGATCAAGATGTGAAAATCAAGCAGACTCATAAAAGAATTGCCATTTTTATTTTGGAATTCTCTAAGGCAGCATGGGTAACAAGATTACCTAAGTATTATTAGTTTTCATAGTTTTTTTTCCTAAACTTTAAGGGCTAAAGATGAAGTCCAGTGGTAGCACACTTGCCTAGACTATGTGAGGCCCTGGTTTCAGTCCCCAGCACAGCAAAAGTAAATAAAATAAATACATTTAAAATAATATTCATATACAGCTCAATTTTGACTGTTTTGATGGTTAAGTAACGGTTTACATTTGTAATTAGCCATTTTGTACGTAAACACGTGTGTGGTTCTAATCCTGGCTTCATGCCAAGTGGTACCAAACTCATTCTTCCCTGGAATGGCTAAAGAGTTTCTCAGAGACTTTCCTTAACCACCTTTTGGGCATCAGTTGACATTTCCTAACGTTTTTAAATTCCAAATGTCACTTAAAGCCCAGTGTGTGTGTGGGAGTTACAAATCTGTGCAATAGAATTCTGATTGTTTCTAACAAGAATTGAAAGATTTAACTTACTGGTTCCATTTCTTTACTTACTGCATTTCTCATTTAATGACTAAGTTCAGGTCCTGTGAATAGGTGTTTAAAAAACTGGCCACGAAATGAGAAATTGTAGCAATGATGGTGAATCTTTTAGAGCTTTTAATGATAACAAACAGTCCTCTGTGGTACCCTTGCCATAAGTTCACCACCACTGGTATAGAGTACATACCCTGCAATATTTAGAACAAAGAAGTGGTCCCAGGAAACCCTAACTTGGTGTCTTTGCATTTATTTGCATACATCTTGCATGCAGCACTGTAGTGAATGACAGAACATAAAACTACAGACTGTACTGTACAGCACCATCAGCAGAGATTACACCACTGTGTACACAAAAACTAGAAAAAAACATTGAGGCTCTATAAAAAAGATACACAGAATAAAAAGATGGGTAGAAAGTCCAAGCAGCTGGGGTTGAAGTCCAAACAGTTGTCAAACAGGCAGACTGTTAAATGAGGAATATCTGTGTCCAATATCTCTATTTCTTCTTGAATTAAATGTATTTGTCTGTAAGAATGTGTGTCTTTCAAGATGTTTAATTTGTCACCATATATTGTTCATAATGTTTCCTTACAAGACTTTTGATTTTCATTGGGTTGCTAGTGATGGATCTTCTTTCATTAGGTTCTCTCTCCCTCCGTGTGTCTCTCTCCCTCCGTGTGTCTCTCTCCCTCCGTGTGTCTCTTTCTCTTTCTGTCTCTCTGTTTCTCACTCTCTGTTTCTTTCTCTGGGTTAGCTAAAAGTTTATCCATTTTGTTTTCTTATAATCAACTTTCATTCTCACTGATTTTCTCTATTTTTGTTTTTCTTGATTCTCACTCTGATATTTATTATCAGATATTTCCTATTTTCCATTTGAGGTTTAATTTGCTCTTTTTTGAAACTCTTCTTTTTTGAATTAGGAATTAAAACCTTTCAAATGATCTTGAATTCTTTCTTAGCCAAATCTTATCAATTTGATCAGGTGTGTATTGATTTCCACTCATTTCAGATATTTCCTAAGCATGTGTGTTCTTTGATTTGTAGGTTATTTAGAAACATGTTGACTTCCTAATATTCAGGAATTTCACCAAATTATTTATGTTATTGATTTTTCATTTTTTCTGTCATTTTCAGAGAACGCTTTGATGATTTCAATTTTCTTAAGGCTATTTAAGCTTGTTTTATGGCCAAATATATGATCTATCTTAAAGAATATTCTATGTGTACTTGGAAAAAATCGGTAGTCTGTAGAAATAAAAGCTGGTGAGGATGCAGGGTAAAAAGAAACCCTTCTACACTGCTGGTGGGAATGCATATTAGTACTATGGAAATCAGCATAGAGATTCTGCAGAAACCTAAAAATAGAACTACCATGTGATGCAGCTATGGAACTCCTCAGTTTGTACCGGAACATATTAGTCGGCATCGTATAGGAACACCTGCATCCCTGAGTTTGTCATGGGACAATTCACAGCAGTCAAGACATGGAACCAGCCTAGGTGTCCATTAAGACAATAGATAAAGGAAATGCAATATATATTACATATATGGTGTATATACTATGATATGTGGCATGTGTAATGGAATATTATTTAGCCCTAAAGAAGAATGGAAATGTGTCCTTTGTAAGAAAATGGATAGAACTGCAGATATCGTATTAAGAAAACAAGCCAGATCTGGAAAGGCAAGTATCACGTATTCTCTGTAACATGTGGGCTCATAAAACAAAGGATGTGAGAGTAGAAGGGGGACTACTTTCAGGCAAGAGGAAGGGCACCAGACGGGAGTGTAGTGGGTAATTGGAGAGGTCGCCATGATACATGTGTGTATGAGAATGCCACATTAAACCCCAATATGGTATAAAATTAATAGGCAGTAACAAAATACATTTTAAAAATAAGAAGTGTGCATTCTCCTATTGTCCCTGAATGGGGACATCTGTGTCAGATCCTGTTGGCGAATGGGGTTGTTCAAATCTCCTTTAATCCCAGAGGTTTTCTAGATAGCTATTCTATCAGTTAGTGAGTGTGGTATTAGACTCGCCAGAAATTCCCCTTCCCTTTGAATGGAGTGAGCCCTGTGCACATGAAAAGTGGTTGTGTTTATGGTCATGCAGTGCACCGGGAAGAAAGTTGTCTGAGGACAACTGTGCTTGTCATGCCAGCCTGAAGAGAAAGGATCAGAATGGAGCTCCCCCATCAACACCCAGAAAGCAGGACATCTGTCCTGCAGCTGCAGGAAACTGAATTCTTCCAAAAGCCCAACTGAGCTTGGTGGTGGACTCCTCCCAGAGCCTCCGGGCAGCGGCTTCTGTGTGGTTTTAGCCTTGGGACGCACTGGGCAGAGAATGGAACCATGCACTGATAAACAGCATCTAAGTTCCTGAAACTCTGGTCTCTTTGTTAGGTGACATTAGAAAATAAATACAGCTGTGTCCAGGTTTACTCTATCATAGTTAGAAGTCTGCCTCCTGCCATAGTTGATAGTGAAAAACAGAACTCAAGATTTCTGGATTCTTTTGA